AAACCCATGTTTCTGACTTCTCTATACAATAATAACTAATAAATAAAATATCTAAACTTGCCAACTCGTCAAGTAATGCGTCACTCTGGAAGGTGTTCATACTGTTTTATCCATCTATATTGTGCTTCGCTGTTCACCGGAGTCTTAAACTGGTTCTTCATTAACTTAAGCAGCTTATAAAATCCAACCATCCCAGGCTAATCTGGGTGCTTTAATTGGTTTACAGTGTCTTTGGCATTCCATGGATGTACAAAGTTTCCTATTTCTATACAGTTATTATCAGTATTCGTCGCTGTCTGTTTCATTACGGAATAATTGAGTAGAAACTTCCAAGTTTTGTGAATTGTCACAGGATACCTACTTCGGCATGGGAAGCCTGCTGTTTTCCGCTTGTGGATGAATCATTTATTGATTTCTTCTTAGAAAGATTTATCTACCGTGATTTAATTGGCACAGTTTTGACTCAGACAATTGTAAAATATGATAATACCTGGTATGATAATTTTTTTACTTGGTTTCCATTTTTGAGAACAAAGCTGAATATATACATATAAATATCTCAAAATCTTGACTGCATAACATGGCTCTGTGCTTTTTTCGTTTTCTTTGTAGTTTAGATGAAAATTATATGAAGGGAAAACATGGCAAAATGGTAAGTCCTTACAGGACTTTGAAATAAAGAATTCTTATTTCCGTCAGATTGATTCACATTTGTTGGCAGAGTTGGACGCTCTCAAAACGGATGTAAGTAAATTGACCTCAATCGAACTCTTATAATGAGTTAAATAGTTATCCATCACTTCAAAGAAACTGGAAAGTAAAACTCAGGCCGTAGTTATTTTACATGAAGCTTTGGAACAATGTAAAAAGGAACGTGACGAGTTCCGACAGATGGCTGAGCAGGTTTGTGATCGTTTATCTCTATAAAAATTTGCATCCCAGGTCATGAATCGATACCAGCTACTTCGTAAAACTCTAAGTCAAGGCACTCAATCAGAAACATTGTCGGCCAAGGCTTTGGGGCAAATGCCAAGTAAAAAGGTGTGTACAGTTACAACGACAGCCTTGATGCCTTCATTTCCCTCTCCCCTTCCGGTTAGTTGGCCTATCTGCTGGTTGAGAGTCGTGAAGCAAATCGCGCCTTGGAGCGTGAACTGGTCGAGATGAACACCAAGTTAAGTGATGCCGAGGGAGATATCAAGCTGTTGCGACAACAGTTACGAACCAGTTTTAATCAGTCAACTTCACCAACAGAACCCCATTCAGTTCCGAGTGACGAACGACAGAACCTTATCTCTCATCTGGAGCGGTTGACTGCACAGGTAGATTTGTGCACTTTCTTTATCTGTCAAAATTTAATTTTAAGCGATCAATTTCACTTGCATGTTCGTACACGCTCCATTGTTCTTTCATGGACTGGTAGCTCAGGTTCCAAGCTCCAGACTTCTCGGTCGCGCCGATGGATGGGGTCATTACAGGTCACTAAACAGTGACTTCTCTTACTTGTCTTTTTATCACTGGAACCTTAACTTCTAGGTCAATCCGCAGCCTCTATGGATAGTTTTTCTTTCACCTTAAAGTGGTCATTTCATTATGTTACAATCCTCCAACTTCAATTTTAATTGAAATCAATAATCTGTGATCATGTAGAAAACGGTATTCGCGAAGAAATTTCTTTTCGATATATCGCATCAGGCGTTTACATATATAAGGTGATCCTAATACAGATCGGTGATCAGTTCATCTTCTTTAAATGCGTTTGTACAGCGCTTGGTTCATATCCGAATGATAATACTGTTAACTCACACACACTTTTGCTTAGTGATCGAGTTATATCGCTGACCTGTGATTTCGCTCTTTCCTGGATGAGTAGTTTTGATGAGTATCCAATTGTCAATCTGTGGCCTTTTAAGGGAAACCGATATGAGTAGCACACTTGAGCTGGTCGACTGTCGTGTCTCTTGGAGCACATTCCGCCTGTTTGGTCTCAATCGTTTACCCAACTTTCATCTCTGGTTCAAAGACGCCGAGCCATGCTTTAGCCATCAGACGATGGTAAACCGCTCATCAGGTGAACTTACTCAGGTGGTGGTGATGCAATGGTTTAGTCGCTGTCACCGGCGTGCTTTGAACCCTATGGTCCGAGGTTCGAGCCCCACCACCGCCACCCGACTTTGTTGATTGGCAGCTCTACTGTCGTCCGGTTCAATACCACGCCTAACCTATCGGGGCCTTATGTGGTTCGCCACTCCAAGTTCCGGGGCTTAGTTAACCTATTTCAACCACTGAACAGCAAGTCCTCGTGACTATGGGGTTTACCCCGTCTGCTGTTCATCACACCTAGGTGTGTAATAAAAAAGAAAAAAGTTAAAAGTGACTAAAACCGTGATGATTCTGCACACAACACATGTAAAGACAGTTACTCCGTAGTGGCAGACAAAATCAGCTGCCTGATCCATCGATTATAAAGAAAAATCGCCAAACTTGTTGATGTGAATGAATCCTCAGGTTTTATCTATTGCGACCGAAGGACCACGAGTGTACGATAGCACAGACCCACCTCGTAGAAAGAGGAAACGACCGAACGAAAACCATGCGAATATGTCCAATAGTACGCAACTGAAGGCCCCAAATGAGCAGCAAAGGAAGAAGGAAGGTAAACCTTTCAGGCGAGGTTCTCTTTTCTTTCACATTTCTACTTCCTTTTATTGAATGTACAAAGATACAATCTTCAGGAAGAAGAAAGCGGTCACTCAAAGGGCTGCCATACAACACAATAGGGAGATTCAGGCAGTGATTGTGGGATCGGAACACACGTCCTCTGGGTGATGTTATAACCGGGCCACCACTACCCGGTTGTATATTTGGCTCGACCCTTAGGCGACTGTAGTGAGTGGCTCATCTGTTCTTATACAGTTTGATGATCGGCCATCAACAACTTCGTAAAATAGTTCGGAAGTCCAAAATTTTGGAGAAACCGACCGATCAGAGGTATGCATGGCCAGTAATACGAGAAGCTTTTTGGAAGTTTAAATTTGATCAAAATAAACAGGAAAATGGGAGAGAAATAGGAGAGAGTAATCAATTCTGTTCTTTAGTCCGAATTCAATCGGACAAAGAGGCGTACCCTCGTTAAAAGTCAAGTTACGCTGGAACTTCTCTTGTATGAAACTGCAATAAAACCACATGTTGTTTATAAAGTTGGTTTATTCTTTCCAAGGAGCCCACCCAAGGAAAAGTGAATGATACGAAAAGAGAATTTACACAGTAATTAAATCTTATGTTCATTCGGCATTCTTTCGAACTGTCGCCCGAAAACTCGGACCCTGGTTGAAAGAGCTAATAACGAATTGCGTTCCCCGGGGTTGAGACAAAAAGGGAAAACCATCGCTTTTGATGATTCCAGTCGTTTTATGATCACATTCAACACTTCGTTAAACGGATTAATACCGGGATACAGCAACGAACAGGGGTAGTTGGTTAGTGGAATTATCGTGCCATATCTGAAGAGTTTGTTTGCAAAGATAGTCAGAATGGCAATAGACTACTTTNNNNCTTTGTTTTTTTCCCCTGCCTAGGCACACTCTACCCGCTTGTCATATTCCTTGTGTTCAGTGTTTATATGAGCTGTTAACCACGATCAACGAGGTTCGCTTCCACATCTTTCGCTGTACTCTACACACTCAA